TCGTCGCCGTCCTCCCTCCTGCCTCGTCGTCGTCGTTGTCGTCGTCGTCGTCCTCCCTCCTTCCTCGTTGTCTTCGTTGGCGACGTCGTCGTCGTCTTCATCGTCAACGTCGGCGTCGGCGTCGTTGTCGTCTTCGTCGTCGTCGACGTCGGCGTCGTCGTCGTCGCCGCCGTCGTCGTCGTCGTCGTCGGCGTCGTTGACGTCGTCGTCGTCGTCGTCGTCGGTGTCGTCGTTATCGTCGTCGTCGGCGTCATTATCGTCGTCGTCGTTGTCATCGTCGTCGTCGGCGTCGGTGTCGTCGTCGTCGTCGGTGTCGTCGCCGTCGTCGTCGTCGGCGTCGTCGAAGTCGTTGGAGACGTCGTCGGTGTCGTCGTAGTCGTTGCCGTCGGCGTCGTCATCGTCGTTGTCGCTGTCGTCGTCGGCGTCGCTGTTGTTGCCACGTGCCATCTGGTACCCACCGTCACGGTCTTCAGAGATTTTGCAAAACAAGTTGCGGGTGGGTGGGTGGGATATTTGCGCGAGCAGTGGAGTGGACAACTCACTGCGAACAGAAATTAATTGCACCGCGTAATACACCACATCGGTTGCACAGCATGCATTGCACCGCATAGATTCTCCTTTCTGAACAGAGAATAGACTCTACCCCCCCCGGCGTTATCGCCCCCCTTTTCGGGTATGTAAATCAAATATGGTTCTGACCACATGTCCATCCTAAATATAAATCTGCACTTTCCCAGGGGGGCCAGTATCGACCCCCTGAGGTCTACTTGTAAGAAAACTATGCGGTGACAGTTTTTGTTCTAACATAAGAATTGTTCACGAATCCCTTGCACAAAACGGGACGAAGTGCACACGCGCGCGCCGTCGCGCGCGCATGCCGAAATCCTTCAAAAACATTCGGTGCCGGAAGGATTTCGCAATCGAGTGCCCAAAAAACATACAAATCAAAGGGTTTCGCCACACTGATTTGCTAAAAAAGCTTCCGCGCGAGCTCTTGCGAAATCTTAAGAACCATAGGTTTTGCAAGATGTCCACAACATGCTATTAAACGGGCTTCGCGCGAGCATGTCGAAATCTGTCGGGCGCCCTTGCGCGTGTGCCGTCGCGAGAATCCTCTGCAAAAAACGGGACGAAGTGCAGACGCGCGCGTCGTCGCGCGCGTATGCCGAAAACCTTCAAAACCCATCGGTGTCGGAAGGATTTCAAAATCGTGTCCAAAAAACCTACAAAAACAAAAGGTTTCGCAACACGGATTTTCAACAAAAGCGTGCGCGCGCGCTCTTGCGTCGTCGTCGTCGTCGTCGTCGTCGCCGTCCTCCCTTCTCCCGCGTCGTCGTCGTCGTCGTCGCCTACGTCGTCCTCTGTCTTTCCTCGTGTTCGTCGTCGTCGTCCTCTTTGGCATCGTGGTCGTTTCCGTCGTCGTTGTCGCCGTGGTCGTCCTTCCTCCTCCTCCCTCGTCGTCGTCGTCGTCCGTCGTCGGCGTCTCGTCGTCGTCCCTCCTATTTCGTCGCCGTCGTCGTCGTCGTCGTCGTTGTCGTCGTCGTCTTCCCTCCTCCCTCGTCGTTGTCGTCGTCGGCGTCGCCGTCCTCCTTCTTCGTCGTTCGCGTCGTCGCCGTCCTCCCTCTCCCTCGTCGTCGTCGTCGTCGTCGTCGTCGCCGTCGTCGTCTTTCCTTCTCCCTCGTCGTCGTCTTCGTTGGCGTCGTCGTCGTCGTCTTCGTCGTCGTCGGCGTCGTTGTCGTCGTCGAAGTCGTCGGAAACGTCGTCGGTGTGGTCGTAGTCCTTGGGGGATGTTTGCAAGAGCGTGGGATGTGTCAAATCATAGGTAAAAATCAATTCTCCTTTCTAAAAAGAGAATAGATTCTACCCCCCCCCGGCGTTATCGCCCCCCTTTCGGGTATGTAAATCATGTGTGATTCTGACCACATGTCCATCCTAAATATGAGTTTGCACTATCGCAGGGAGGCCGGTATCGACCCCCTTGAGGTTCCTTTGTAAAACACAATACGCGGGGACATCTTTTGCTCTAACATAGCACATGTTCGCGAATCCCTTGCAAAAATGAGACGAAGTGTACACGCGCGCGCCGTCGCGCGCGCATGCCAAAATCCTTCAAAAACCTTCGGTGTCGGAAGGATTTCGCAATCGAGTTCCCCAAAAAACTACAAAAACACCAGGTTCCGCAACACTTATTCGCAAAAAAAAAGCTTACGCGCGAGCTCGTGCGAAATCTTAAGAAAAACATAAGCTTATCATGATCTTTTCAAAATGCTACCAAACGGGCTTCGGGCGGGCGCATGCCGAAATCTGTCGGACGCCCTTGCGCGTGTGCCGTCGCGAGAACCCTCTGCAACAATATTAGACGAAGTGCAGACGCGCGCGTCGTCGCGCGCGTACGCCGAAAACCTTCAAAACCCATCGGTGTCGGAAGGATTTCAAAATCGTGTGTCCAAAAAACCTACAAACAACAAGGTTTCGCAACAATAATTTTCAACAAAAGCGTGCGCGCGCGCTCTTGCGTTGTCGTCGTCGTCGTCGTCGCCGCCCTCCCTCCTCCCTTGTGGTCGTCGTCGTCGACTACGTCGTCCTCTGTCTTTCCTCGTGTTCGTCGTCGTCCTCTTTGGCGTCGTGGTCGTTTCCGTCGTCGTTGTCGCCGTGGTCGCCCTTCCTCCTCCTCCCTCGTCGTCGTCGTCGTCCGCCGTCGGCGTCTCGTCGTCGTCCTTCTATTTCGTCGCCGTCGTCGTCGTCGTCGTCTTCCCTCCTCCCTCGTCGTTGTCGTCGTCGGCATCGCCGTCCTTCCTACTTTTTCGTCGTTCGCGTCGTCGCCGTCCTCCCTCCTCCCTCGTCGTTGTCGTCGTTGTCGTCGTTGTCGCCGTGGTCGTCCTCCCTCCTCCCTCGTCGTCGTCTTCGTTGGCGACGTCGTCGTCGTCTTCGTCGTCGTCGTCGTCGGCGTCGGCGTCGTCGTCGTCGGTGTCGTCGTTGTCGCCGCCGTCGTCGTCGTCGTCGCCGCCGGCGGCGTCGTTGACGTCGTCGTCGTCGGTGTCGTCGTTGTCGTCGTCGTCGTTATCGTCGTCGTCGTTGTCGTCGTCGTCGTCGGCGGCGGCGTCGTCGTCGTCGTCGGTGTCGTCGTCGTCGTCGTCGCTGTCGGCGTCGTCGAAGTCGTTGGAGACGTCGTCGGTGTCGTCGTAGTCGTTGTCGGCGGCTTCGTCGTCGTCGTTGTCGCTGTCGTCGTCGACGTCGCTGTCGTTGCCAAGTGCCATTTGGTACCCACCGTCACGGTCTTAAGAGATGTTGCAAGCCAAGTTGCGGGTGGGTGGGTGGGATGTTTGCGCGAGCAGTGTAGCGGACAGCTCACTGCGAACAGAAATTAATTGCACCGCGTAGACTGCACCACATCGATTGCACTACCTATATTGCAGCACGCAGATTGCACTACATTTATCACACAACATAACTCGCCCCATATAAATCTCTCTCTATATATATATATATACATATATTGCACCATATAGCTTGCACCACATCAGTTGAACCACATATTTATTGCACCATACAGACGGATATACTGAATAGATTGCACAACATAGATCGCACGGCACATATTGCAAAACATGGGTGGCACCATCTAGGTCGTACCACACAGGTTGCTCCGCTGTTGTTGCACCAGCCACATATGTTGCTCCACATCGACTGCACAGCATATAGCTAGAAACACTGATTGCGGTGCACGCTGGCAAATATACACACACACGCGCACGCACATACACACACATATATATATATATATATATATATGTATAGATCTCGTCGCCCGACTTTCGAATACGGGGTCCCCAGAAGTCCCGACGCTTTCCCCAAGACCCGCGTTCCATCCAAGGTTGTTTTTTGACGGCCCCGGGGCCTGGCGAGGGCCCCCGGAAATTGCAACGACAAGAAACCTCCCACCGTGATGGTTTCGCGACGTGAGCATCTCCTTTTGTGGGAAAAAACAGGGACCGATGCCGCTACTCCAGGGACCTTTCCGAGGGTGCCTTCTGACCACAGCCTCGAGGACAAGACGGCCGCGGCGACGAAGGCCCTCCGGGACGAGCATGGACATCGACACCTCGTCCTCCTCTGAACCTCTAGCTGCCCCGACTCGCAGCACTAGTTCCGTAGAGTGTCGTTACGGAGCTCAGCACGAGTTCTGAACACGTAGGGCTGGCGCGATACGTTCGCCAGAACGTGGGCCAACACGTGCTGAACGCCACCACGCAGCGTGTTCAACGAGGACGTTTTGAACACGGGCCCATCAGGGAAACGAAGATCTGAACTTTAGGCCCGACCCGAAGAGGGATCTGCGACTCCGAAGGGTGTGACTTTCAAAAGGGTGTGATTTGCAACGCGCACCCTGGGGAACGGGCGAGGACCTCGACAGAGCTCTCCCCCGCGCCCCGAGGAGGCCCGACAAGGGTAACGTGGTGCCCCCGAGGCCGCAACGATGCGGATCGCAAACCACACTCCGTCGTAACCACACCCTGTGTAGCCGCCGAGCTGAGACGAAAGCATAATCGAGACAAGACCGGACCGATATACATCGGACACCTCTGAGAATCTGCGGCTCTGGAGGATGCGCCAGGCGCTGCGGCCTTTTCAGAGCGTTCTGGAACGGATTCACCTCGATTCTGGGCCCGTCCGACGAGCGGAGCATCGTTTACCCGATCCCTCTCCCCAGCGGCGTGGCCTGGGTCTACATGCCGATTTACCCCAGTAGATGGGGATGTAGGCCGCTCCCTTCGGGTTTCGAAGGGTGCATCCCCAACTGGGGGGTCATTTGGTGGGGTCTCGAAAGGGATGGGGACGGGGATGGGAGTCGGTGAAACGAACTGGAGGAGGAGGAGGAGGAGGAGGAGGAGGAGGAGGAGGAGGAGGAGGAGGAGGAGGGAGGGGGAGGAGGACGGGGGGGAGGAGGAGGAGGAGGAGGAGGAGGAGGAGGAGGAGGACGAGGCTGAGAAGGAGGAGGATGCGGAGGCGACGCTGCCGCGCGCTGCACGCGGCACACCCGTCTGTGAGCGGTGGCGGCTCGGCCCCGCGGCCCAGGCCGCAGCAGGCCGGCCGGCCGCAGCTTAGGAGCCCCCCGCGGGCGGCAGCCCCGCGAGCAGGCGGGCCCGGCGCAGGTGCGCGATGAGCTCGCCGGGCTCCCCGTGCCTCGTGCGGCGGCGCGCGCACGGGGGAACGCGCGGGGGGGAGGGCCTCCTCCTCCCAGAGATGCAACGCATTGGAAAAATCAAGGCGGAGGTGTTGCTGAGTTTGTTGGCCTCTAGGGGCCCTCGCCGGGCCCCGGGACCGTCAAGAAACGACTCAGGACGAAAAACCGGTCCTGGGGAAAGGGTCGGGACTTCCAGGGAGCCCGTATTGAAAAAATCAAGACATCGGATGTCTGGGCTGCTGTCTCGCGCTGGGCAAACTTATGCTTCTAGGCTGGAACGCCCTGCTTGTGCAAGAAGAAGCGACTCCGCGCGATGATAGCAACGATGTGTGAATCAGGCGGCAGGCCCGTGCGGTACGGGAAGGGCACATCAAATACAAGAAAAGCAGAAAACCCAGAGAGGGCGCAGATGAACCGTGCTTGCCGCTGAGGTGGAGAGGGGAACACGGACCTCCTCGTCCTCGTCCTCGTCCTCCTCCTCCTCCTCCTCCTCCTCCTCCTCCTGCTCCTCCTCCTCCTCCTCCCCCGTCCTCCTCCTCCTCCTCCTCCTCCTCCTCCTCCTCCTCCTCCTCTCCTTCTGCTGCTCCTGTCTCTCCTCCTCGGAAGAGCTCAGGGTGCCCGAAACCGGTACAGAGCAGGCAGATCGGTGTCTTCCCCGTCAGGCGCAGCAGGGGTCAGGCTTGTCGAGCGGAGCTGCGGCTTGATCCATAAATCGTCAGGAGCGATGCTGGGGACTTTCCCTCAATCTCACGGCGGGGCTTGTCAGCCATCGCGTTCCAGGTGGGTAACCAGTGTTTGGTGCTTGGCCCCATCATTGGCGCCTATACCCTCAAGCCGACCGGCATATGTCATGCATCCTGCTCCCTGGCGGGCCACACCAGAGACGACTCCCCTTCCCAGCAGTGGGTAAGCAAGCGACTTCCACCCACAGACAGGAGATGGTGGCCTTCCCCGACGCTCACTGGAAGCAAGGTATAACACGTGCTTTATCTGCCTGTTCTTGAAGCTCGACCTCTGGAGAGGCCCCTTTCGGGCTCCAGGGCCACCGAGAGCAAGTCCAGCATGGATCGCATGTTAGCCAACGTGGACCCCAAACAGTGATCGAGTGCACCATGGATGAATTGTAAGCTATGCGGTGTGAGTTATTTGGAAAAACTATGCGGTGTAGGCTGTTCTGTGTGAACTAGATGGTGAAGACTATGCGGTGTGATCCACTATGCGGTGCAAGCTGTGTTGCGTACGCCATGCGATGTGAGCTGTGCAGCGTAGGCAATGCTGTGTAGGCGACGTGCTTCGAGCTGTGCGGCGCAAGCTGAGTGGCGCAAGATGTGCTGCACCAGGCAGGCGTGCGGCGCCAGAGATCCGCAGGGCACTCTGCCAGGGCTGTGCTTGGAGGCCTGGAAATGGGCACCAACGCCAACACAGGGGGCTGCCTCCCCAGGGGGAAGATGCTCCTAGATTTCAGTGTTGGTGGTATATTTCGGTCACCCTGAGGCCAGAATATTACCACCATCACCGAGATCGGGATCTTCTTCCCTCGGTGGAGGCACAACGCCGAGATTGGTGTTGGTGTCAACCTCTAGGCCTCCGAAGTGCGGCGTAAGCTGTGCGGCGCGCGAGCTGCGCGGTGCAAGCCCTGCGGCGCCCGCGGGGCGCCCACGAGGGGACCACGGGCGCCAGCGTGGCGAGGCCCCGGGGACACCCTGCCCAGCGCCCGGGGCGTCCACGAGGCGCCCGCGATGAGGGCTCGGGCCCACGTGGCACAACCTCGGCACACCCTTCCCGGCACACGAGGCGCCCACGGGGCGCCCACGAGGGGGAGGAGGAGGAGGAGGGGGAGGAGGAGGGGGAGGAGGAGGAGGAGGAGGAGGAGGAGGAGGAGGAGGAGGAGGAGGAGGAGGAGGAGGAGGACACTTTTGATTCGCGGGTCGAGAGCGCACCTCTTCCGGTCGAAGCTCAGCGGGCCGCGCGAAGCTTGAACTAGGCAGAGGTGGGGGAGGAAAACGCCCTTCCCGGCACACGGGGCGCCCACGAGAGGCGCCCCCCCAGGGCGGGAACGGGCGCTGGCCGCGGAGGCCTGGGAGAAGCCGCTCCTGGCGGGGCACACGGGGACGGGTTCCGAGCGGGCGTTGGCCGGCGCGTCCACTGGGAGCGGGGCGAGGGGGGGGGGCGAAGGGGGGCCTTCCTCGGTTTCTTCTGTCCTTGGCAGGCTGAAGTTGCTGGACTTCAATAACAAGGTCTCCGATCATAGCGCCGTTTTGTAGGCATTGTGTGTTTGTGTATTCGCTCGTTGGTTGATGAACAGCATACTGGGGCCGCCAAGCCCCAAGTATCCTGGTGATCCCTGCGTCTCCCGCCTCGCTGCTCCAACGAATGACGACAGAATGAGCACAGCACAAAGAGACCAAACGCCATGAAGTAAGCAACACGCATCAATCACATAAATATTCAACACAGTGAGCCTGCGGCGGAGGTCCTCGGAGGCCCGAGAAAAGCACCAGAAGCACCACCAAAACGACGGAGGGCGATTTCTTTCAGACTTAAGCAGGTCTACTTACATGGCATTCCCCCCCCTCCCCTGCGCCGCCATCTCAAACCGCGCGGGGCCGAGAAGGCTGGCGAGCGAGTCCCGAGCTGCGTGAGGCCCAGAGCTCCTCTCGGGCCTCGCCGAGCGCACACCCCTTCCCCCTCCGTGCAAGAGCACACTGGCCAAAGCCCTAAAAAGAAGACACGTTCCTCTCCTTCCAGGCGGGCCTCATGTGCAGCTGCCAGATCTGGCCCGCCGCGCTCGCGATGGTCACCAGGGCGGAGGGGCGACCCCGGGCCTCCTCTGCCGCCTGCGCCGCGCCGCTGTCTCTGGCCATCGCCGCCGCCGCCGTCTCCGCCGCCGCTTCAGCTGCCGCCGCCGCCGCCGTGGCCGCTTTCGCCGCTGCCGCCGACGCCGCCGCCGCTAGCGCTGTGGCCGCCGCCGCCCCGCCGTCGCCTCAGACATGCGACGATGTGTGTGTGTTGTGTGTGTGTAAGTGTGTGTGTGTGTGTGTGCGTCTGCGCCGTTGTGTGTGTGTGTGTGTGTGTGCGTGTGTGTGTGTGTGTGTGTGCGTGTGTGCGCGTGCGTGTGGATGTGTGTGTGTGCGTGTGTGTGTGTGTGCATGGTGTGTGTGTGTGTGCGTGTGTGGGTGCGTGTCAGTGTGTGCGTGTGTGTGTGTGTGTGTGCGTGTGTGTGCGTGTGTGTCTGTGTGTGTGTGTCTGTGTGTGTCTGTGCGTGTCTGTGCGTGTGTCTGTGTGTGTGTGTCTGTGTGTGCGTCTGTGTTTGTGTTTTTTTTGTGTGTGTGTGCCTGTGTGTGTCTGTGTGTGTGTCTGTGTGTGTGTCTGTGTGTGTCTGTGTGTGTGTCTGTGGGTGCCTGTGTGTGTGTGGCTGTCTGTGTGTGAGTCTGTGTGTGTCTGTGCGGGTCTGTGTGTCTGAGTTGGCTGTGTGTATCGGTGTGTTTGTTTGCGTTTGTCTGTGTATGCGTCTGTGTGTGTCTGTGTGTGTGTCTTTGTGTGTTTGTGTGTTTGTCTGTGTGTGTGTGTCTGTGTGTGTGTGTCTTTGTGTGTGTGTGTGTCTGTGTGTCTCTGTGTGCGCCTTTGTGTGCGTGGCTGTGTGTGTGTGTGTCTGTGTGTGTCTGTGTGTGCGTGTCTGTGAGTGTGTGTGTGTGTGTCTATGTGTGTGCCTGTGTGTGTCTGTGTATGTGTGTGTCTGTGTGTGTCTCTGTGTGTGTGCGTGTCGCTGTGTGTGTCGGTGTGTGTGTGTGTGTGTCTGTGTGTCTCTGTGTGTGTCTGTGTGCCTGTGTGTGTCTGTGTGTGTGTGTCTGTGTGTCTGTGTACGTGTGTGTGTATGTGTGCGTCTGTCTGTGTGTGTCTGTGTGTGTGTGTCTGTGTGTGTGCGTCTGTGTTTTTGTCTGTCGTGTCTTTGGCTGTGTGCGTCTGTGTGTGTGGCTGTGTGTGTCTGTGTGTGTCTGCGTGTGTGGCTGTGTGTCTGTGTCTATGTGTGTGCCTGCGTGTGTGTCTGTGTGTGTCTGTGTGCGTGTGTCTCTGTGTGTGCCTGCGTGTGTGTCTGTGTGTGTCTGTGTGTGTGTGTGTCTATGTGTGAGCCGTGTGTCTGTGTATGTCTGTGTGTGTCTGTGTGTGTGTGTGTCAGTGTGTGTCTGTGTGTGCGCGTCTGTGTGTGTGTGTCTGTGTGTGTCTTTGTGTGTCTGTGTTTGTCTGTGTGTGTGTGTCTGTGTGTGTGTCTGTGTGTGTGTCTGTGTGTCTGTGTGTGTGCCTGTGTGTGCGCGTCTGTGTGTGTGTGTCTGTGTGTATATGTGTGTGTGTCTGTGTGTGTGTGTCTGTGTGTGTGTGTCTCTGAATGTGTGTGTCTGTGTGTGTGTCTGTGTGTGTGTGTCTGCGTGTGTCTGTGTGTCTGTGTGTGTTTCTTTGTCTGTTTGTCTGCGTGTCTGTGTGTCTGTGTGTCTGTGTGTATATGTGTCTGTGTCTGTGTCTGTGTCTCTGTGTGCGCGTGTGTGTGTGTGTTTGCAGCTCGCGGCCCCAGGGGACCCCCCTTCCCCCAGGTCGGTACTGTTTCGCACCGGATTCGCTTTTGGCGGCCTCGGGTGCCCGATCACGGGCTCCAAGGGCCGAACTCAAAAGAAGAACTTACGGACTGAGCAGGGTCCGCCGTCGCCGCCGCCTTCGCCTCCGCCTTCGCCGCCGCCGTCGCCGCCGCCGCCGTCGCCGTCGTCGCCATGGCAGTCGCCGCCGACGCCGCCTTAGTTATCCGACGATGTGATTTTTCAATCCTCAGCCACACTGTTGCCGACCCCTTCCTGGCAATTAGTTTGGGTTTTACGCCCCTGGTCCGTTTTGGGTGACCGCCGACGAAAAACGCCCGGACTGAACAATCATACAGTCGGAGATCTGGGTCCGCCGGCGTCACCGCCGCCGCCGCCGACGCCGCCGCCGTTGCTGCCGCCGCCGCCACACTCGCCGTCGCCGCCGCCGCCGTTGCCGTCGCCGCCGAAATCTGGGTCAGCCGCCGTCGCGGCCGCCGCCGCCGACGGCGCTGCCGCTGCCGCTGCCGCCGCCGACGTCGTCGCCGTCGCTGTCGGCGCCGCCGCCGTCCCACGCATCCGAGGATGCGAGTTTTCAATCTCAGGCCCCTGAGCCCCCGATCATTCGCCGTCGGGGCGGTGTTGTGCCCAAGATCACTTCTGGAGCCCCACGGCCCGATAACGCGCCCCGAGGGCCGAAATCAACGAGAAACATTCGGTTTCAACAAAAAACACCGTCGGAGGTACGGGTCCGTCCGCCTCTGTCGCCGTTGCCAACGCTGCTGTCGTTCCCGTTGCCACCGCCGCCGCCGCTGTTGCCGCCGCTGCCGTCGCCGCCGTCGCCGTCGCCGTCGTCGCCGCCGCTGTCGTCGTCGTTGCCGCCGTCGCCGTCGCCGCTGTCGCCGCCGTCGCCGCCGTTTCCGCCGTCGCCGCTGCCGCAGCCGCCGCCGGCCGTCGCCACCGCCGCCGCCTGCACCGCGCCGATGTCCAGCGCATGGGCGCCCCCGGCGCCGAGCAGCACGCAGAGCTGGGCCGTGGTGAGCAGCAGGCCGCACGGCACGAGCCGGAGGTTGGGCTCGCGACGGCCGTCCTTTCCGCAGGCCCAGGTGTCTGACAGTACTGCGGCCAGGGCATTGGACAACGAACCCTTGAATGAGGAGCCCGGGGTCTGGAAGCCGGCGGAACACCAATGGAAGTTTGGCCAAGGATATCACAGCCGCCCTCATCAGGTGAGGCATCCTCCAGGGTCTGAAACCTCCTGGGCAGTTCCCGTCACCAACGCCCCCACCGTGTGCTTCCTATCTGTGCACTGTTCCTCGATTTCGGCTTCAAGGGGCCCGTTTTCGGGCTCCACGGGGCCCCTAGAAACGGATCTGGCAGCGGTTGGGGGTTTTGGGGCTGCGGCTTGAACGAAACCAGGTCGGAGGATGTCTGCGGAACGGCACCCGTGCATCGCCACCGTGCCTGACACTAAATTCTTGCCGTCCAGCGAAGCCCAGTGGCCAAGGAGGACACAGGGGATGAGGAGGGGGGGGAGGGAACTGAAAGAAACACAGCAGCCCGTGGGGAGAGGCGAGAACTGATTCGGACTAGTTAGTCCGGCGGGCCGGGGCGCTCCAGCAGCCAACGTGCCTGACACAGGCCATCCCGACCAAAGCCAGGGGAGAGTCTCGAAAAGATGGCTCGGGACGCAAAGCTGGTCCTGAAGGAAGCGGTCTGGGCCTCTGGGGAGACACGCTTTGGAGCATGGAACGACGTGCCCAAACCCCCGAAGCGGTGATGGTTCACAACGTGGACCCACAGAAGTCCAGCCCCATTCCCTGGGACCGCCACTTCATGCCGAGCAGTTTTGTTGACGACCCTGGGGCCAGGCAAGGGCTCCTCCTGGAAGCCGAAGACTGCCAAAAACCGCCCGTGCTCTCTCCCCACGACCCCTGAGATCCGACGTTGTAACAAAAAACAAAGCCAACATCAAAAAAAAGAGAGACCAGGACCCCGACCTTCTGCGTCATTTTTCGCAACGGAGATCTGTGAGGGCCCCAGGGCCCGAAATGGAGCGAAAACGCCCGTTGTGAAAAAATGGCAACGCTAGGATCTCAGGGACCCGACAGGGTTTGCGTCCATGTCAGGGCCCAGGACGGCCCTGACCACAGACGCGTTGGTGGTGCACAGATCCGCCTTCCTTGGGGGGTGGGGGGGGGAGAAGGGGGGGTGCGAGGGCCCGCACCGATCGGCCGAACAATAAATACGAAAACGACGACTCCCCCCCCCACGGCTCGACAGGGTCTGCGTCCATGCCAGGGCCCAGGGCGGCCCCGACGTCGGCACGGTGTGGCGGTGCCCCACGCCCTTGCCAACGGGGCATTCGCACACGGGTCCGTAGCTAAGGGTGCCTTCTCCCAGTGTTGTTTTCAGGGAAACTGAGTTGCCGCGCGCAGGTGCGAGGCACCCTGGTACCCCCCCCCGCCCAAAGTTTTGATGATGCATCGACGTTTTTGTCATCACGCCCTAGAGCGAGGTAAATGCCCTGTCAACCCGTTCTCGCTTGAAGGGGCACCTCAGCCACTGCCCCGTTTACTGACGCCCCGTTTGCAGGGGCTTGGGTGCCTCCAGATCTCTGTTTCCCGCCAGTGGTCCTCACCCTCCACGGCCCCGTCCACGCGCACCAGCTCGCAGCGTGGGCTCCAGAACAGGACGGCGGGAGCCGCGCCCTGCTTTCGTCGAGCAGAGAATCGAGTGCCGAATTGATGCATGCCTAGAATTTATCTGCTCGTCGAGTCTACGAACACGTATACGTACTTGCTCCGTCGATTCGGCGAGGATATTCTTTCGACCCCCAAACTGACTTGTTCGTCGAATCTGCGAACAATTTTTTCGTCGGCGGCGAGGCAGAGGCAGTCCGCTCCAGCGTGTGGCTAATCGGGGCAACCGACATGCGAACTGTCCTGTTTGCAAGAGGAAGGGAAGAAGACGAGGGCGGCCGCGCGGGGGGAGGAGAGGGGGGGAAGCGCTCAGACGTGGAAGAGTTCCACGTAGAGCAGGCCGGAGCGGCGCGAGCCTACGAACAGGTAAACGTCATTTTTCGTAGATTCGACAAGAAGACTCATTTTGGGGTCGGAAAGTTCTGCAGTCGATCCCCTACTCGAGCTCGAGGCGGCGCCCCCAAAGGGGTGTGGAGCGCCGCGGGGTTCCCAATTTTGACTCCCTCGAGTCCCGAAGGAACAACCCAAACAGCGGCAAACGGGTGCCCGTTTCGGCCTCTGGGGGCCCTCGCCGGGCCCCAAGACCGTCAAAGAAAGATCGGCACAGGAGGAAACGCCGGCCCTGGGGAACAGGTCGGGACATCCGGGGCCCCACAGCGAACACAGAAACAACTCTTATATGGCGCCGCGAGGTTTTTCGGCAGGTTCGCGTCGTGCCGACATCGGTGTCGGTTCCTGACAAAGCGGGAATCGCTCCACCTTGAACGATCGGCCGTTTCCCAAACGCCTGGTCGCTCAACATCGGCCGATTCTGGGCCGCCGGTGGCGTGCAACATTGAACGCCGGCGGAGGGGTCGCCGCCGGTCGGCACGACGCGAACCTACCGTACTCTTTCGTCCCTTTCTGGGGCTCCTGGAAGGCTCTCGTGGGCATGGCTGGACGCGGCTCGAGGAGCCAGCCAGGATGGACCCCTGGAAGGGTCTGGGGGCCGTGTTGAGCGGACTTCCTGCGGGGCGGCCTTCAAAGAAGGCAGGGGGCTTCTGCGAAGGAATCGGAAGCTTCTGAGAGGGCTTCTTCCCGCCGCCCCCCTTTGCCACACCTCTAACCTAAGCCCGCTCAAACCGGATCCCCGCAGCCCATCCAGGGCCCACCCTGGCAGTGCTTTCAGCTGCGGGCCCGAAGACGTCAAGCCCAGCTCGCTTTCTGCCCGACGCCAAATATCCGAAGGCATGATCGCTTGAATCTGGACGCTTTCTCGATCTCGATCTCGGCCCGAGAGGAAGGGGTCGACAGCTCTGCAACCACGGATTGAAAAAGCAGATCATGTCGGAGGGTGTGGTGAGCCCAGACATGCGATGACCAGAATTGTTCAATACTCGGCGTACATGACGGGGCCCTGGGACACACAAATAAATACACACAAATAACATGATTCTCCATCTTTTCGTATATGTTCTGGGCTTTTTGTATTCCCCCCACTTCCTATAGTTTCCCATATGTTCTAGGAAATCGAGGATTCATTGTGTCTGTGTGTTTCTTCCCCTCCTGAGTACACGGTCCCTGGGAGTCCCGACCCCTTCCCCGGGGCCGGATCCTCATCCCGCGTCTTTCTTGATTGTCCTGTGGCACGGCAGGGGCCCCCAGCGGCCGAACACGGAAAGACATCCCCGTCTTGCCTTTTCAGGAAGTTGCATGCCTGGGATCGGAGGATGTGGCGCCCTGCCCGCTTTTCTGCGTGACGGAACCCGCCTGCGCCAGAGGGCCCTGGCAGCAGTGCAGGTGGAACTTCAGGGGCGACACGTCCGGCTCGAGGCGGACCTTCCAGTGGCCCAGGCACGCGGCGCACGCTGCTGGGTGGCCGCCCGCCGGGGCCACGGAGGCCTCGCGGGCCCGACGGCCGCGTCGCCGTCGCCGCCGCCCTCGTCGTCGCCGTTGCCACCGCCGCCGCTGCCGCCGACGCCGCTGCCGCCAACGCCGCTGCCGCCGACGCCGCTGCAGCTGCCGCAGTCGCCGCCATCGCCCCGCCGTCGGCGCCACCTCCTGCAGACACCCTCCCGCGCGTGCATACTGCGACCCGCGGCACCACAGGGCCCCCGACGCCTTAATCCTGGGGGGGGCTAGTGCTCCGCCCCGGGCCCGCTGCTGAGGGCCCTCGCGAGCGGCCCGAAAGAGAACGCACGGGCCCCGAGGCCAGCCGAGGCAAGACTGCGCCCTGACTCGAAAGCCGCACTGCCGGAAATCTGTGTCCGCCGCCGCCGCCGCTGCCAGCCTCGCGGGTCGACCAGCCGCGCGCCGTGGCCGTCAGGAGGTCGAGCATCCCGCCCACGGGGTGGGCCACGGCCCCCGCCACCGCGTTGCGCGCGCCGCGCAGCAGGCCCAAGGCGCCCGCCCGCTCCGGCGTGTGCTGCTCCCACCTGGCCCGGCCGCCCGCCCGCCAACGACATCGACGATCGGCGGCCGACCGGCGTTCGTCCGAGGGCCTCCGAGGGCCTCCGAGGAGGATTGCGGAAGAGAGGCTCCGAGGGCGTCCGACGGGCCATCCGAGAGGCTCTCGCGGGGGCCTCGGATGACCTCCGAGGCGGCGGCGGCAGCGGCTGGCTCCACCTGACGACGCCGCCGAGGCCGCGGCTGAGACCGTCGACGAGCGCCCGCATCCCGGCCGCCAGGCCGGCATCGGCGGGGGCCGACGAGGCCAGGGCGGGCGCGGTGCCAGCGGAGGGGCCGGGGCCTGCGGCGGGCAGGTTCCTGCATGCAGGAGGCGCCCGTGCACACTGCCGCCCGGCCAGGGCCACCCTGGGCCCGGACATGGCGCAGACACCCTCAAGGCCGAGGCCCAGCAGGGCGCGCGCACCGTCAGTGGGAGCCGACGTCGCGAAAAAAATGCAACAGCCTGAGAAATCACGCCCGGAGCCCACGACCCAATCTTTTTCCGCGTCTGCTTTCGAGCCAGATCGCTAACTGTGAGGGCCTCGGGGCCCGAACACCAAGGCGACAAGCGCCCGGCTCGAAAACGTCAATGATCGCCAGGATCTCGGGGATCCTGGCGCCCAGGATGGCCTGGGCCATGCATAGTGGTGGCAGTTCGGGCCGAACGAAAGGGGGGGATAGGGAAAGAGGGGGTTACGAAATCTGCTGCCAGCTGGTTTCGGCCCCGCCGCTGGGCCCAGTCCTCGATACATGGGCGCCTCCCGTCGCCGGGAGGCGCTGGGAAAATCAGCTACGTGAGCTGCTTCTCTACCATACCCGTTGCTATCCCCCCCCGTTCGTTCCCCCCGAGCCGTGCACGGGTGCTCTCTGCGAGCTCCTGCGGATCGAGTCGGCCACGGCGGCCACGGACGTCAGCGACGCGGACGGCAGGAAGGCCAAAGAGCAAACGCCACACGAGCACACCGTTTTTTGCGGGGGCCAGCGCGGACTTCCTGGGCCAGCGCTGGGCCAGGATGTCCGCGCGGACCTCCGAGAGGGTTCGCGCTTACAGCCACAGCGTGTAGCAAGGACGGGTGGAAAGGGCGCAGGGCCCTTGGAGGCCCAAGTTGGGATTTGTTGGGCGGCGGGCGACCAGCGAGGACGGCAAAGGACGGGCCGCAGGGGCGAGGACACAAAGGCACCCAAGATGAAGGCGCGCGCCCTTGCTAGGCGCGTTGACTGCACCTCGTGCTTTTGGGCTTCCGGATGAAAAGTGGGAGGCGAACGACCACATGCCCTCTCGCAGCGGCCTCCTGAGGAGGTCGCCCAAGCCCGTGCGCAGGTGCCTGTAGGCCTGCACGGGGTTCCCCAGCAGGTCGCAGGACCCCAGGAGCACGGACCGAGGAAGAGAAAACTGCGAAGACGTAAACTTCCGGAGGTCCGCACGGAATTCTTGGACTCGCGCTGTGCCCCCCTCTCTGGCGCGCGCGGAGCGCGCCAAGGGAAGCGCTGGAGGCGCCGCCATGGGGGGCTCCGGCGCCGATCCGAGAAATCCGCGCGGAGTTCCGCAAGCTTATGTGCGTGCCGTTTCTTGTCCTTCGAATGGGGCTGTTCAGGAGGCCGAACGCGATGCAGTGGGCGATCATCTCCTGGCTCAGCACGACGCCGGTGGTGACCACCTGGGACAGCTGCACCTCCGGGAAGGTCAGCATCAGCCCCGTGAAGGACACGAAGACGGGCGAGGACAGCCGCAGGTCCACGCAGAGGGGCAGCGCGGGCACGGACAGCCACTCGAAGCAGAGGTAGCCGAACTCGTCCTGCTGCACGGGGGGGAGCTCGGGGCACCCGCACCGCGGCGCGCGGCGGGAGCCCGGCGTGGAGGCGGCGCTCTGGCCCCGGGCCCCAGCCTCGGCGGCGTCCACCTGGAGCTCCGACGCCACCGCGGCCCCCAGGAGCTGTGCAAACTGCAGCAGGCTGTCGTCGATGCAGAAGATCATCGGGCACTCCTCCAGCTCGCCGGGCTCGAACGTCACCTGCACGCGCTCGTACGCCACGGGGAGGCCATACGGTGGGTGGTAGAGGGCCAGCTCGAGCCCGCAGGGAGGTATCGCCAGCACCTGCTTCAGCGGCGAGTGGTGGAACGGTCTGCCCACGTCTGCGACGCTCAAGCACCTCCACTCGAGGGCCATCCGGGTGCGCGAGGCTCTCCCGCGTCCGGGCGGCATGGCGGCAGACTCCGCCTCGCTCTGCTGATGCAGAAGCACCCCCTGTGCGTGCAGGGCGAGGGACCTGCCATCCACCGCGCTGCTGGCTGCGGAGGAGACCCCAAGGCCGTCTCCCTTCTCGAGGCCGAGGTGGACCACGAGGTCCACCACTCGCAGCGTGAGCTCGAGGCTGGACGGCATCTGCGCGGCCCGGAGCGGCGGTCGGGCCACGGTCGCCGCTGCCTCCGGCTGCGAGGTCTCGCCGGAGGGGCTCCGCAGCTCGACGCGGCACACGCCAGAGGCAGAGCGGACTGCGACGTCCAGCTGCGGGAAACCGAACGGCTCCCACCGCAGGTCTGCATCGGCCGTGAGCAGGAAGTCCATGTGAGCGGGCTCGACCGCCTCGGGGTCCACGGTCAGGCGTGCCTGCACAGGCTCGATGCCGTCCGCCAACTCCTTCGCAACGGGCGCCCGCGGTGCCGCAGGGTCCTCGAGCTGAGAGCCCCCGGCATCGTCATCAACGCTGTCGGCCTGCTGGTGCTCTTTGCCTCCCTGCGGGAACACCTCGAGCGTCCGCATGGCCATGCAGGGCACCTCAAGCGAGGCCCCAGGTGGCAACCGCCGCCATCGAGGAGGCTGCGGCATTGACGTACCGCGCCAGGGCTCTGAAACCCAGGCGGTCTGCATGCTGAGGTTCACGCAGATGAGGGGAGGCTGAGCGGTCCGGAGCAGAGATATCACCAGGGCGCCCTGCAGGGGTGCGAAGTATGAGAGGTTCAGCAGCATGCTTGCTTGCGGATCCCCCATGAGCTCGACGCAGGCGTCGCACACGTGGCCACTGCACGCCCGGACACCGACTGTAGGAGAGAGGAGCTCTGCCAAGCTGTTGACTGCCGCGGCCCTGTCCATGCCCAGCGGGGTCGGGCTGGGCGTCACGTCCAGGCTGACCTCGGTGCCGCAGCCCCCGCTGACAGCGGCGCCCGATGAGAGCGACAGACTCAGCGACGCCTTGAGCGCCAGCTGCTTGGAAGGCGATGCGTGAGGCGACTTTGAGGGCGTCTGGCTCTCGCCATCGCTGCCAGATGCCTGCTGGCCGTCGCCAAGGACCGCCAGCACCCCGGCCTCTTCCGAGGGCCACCACGGCCACGGCAGCGTCACCGATGCGGCCTCTGGCGGCTTGGCAGCAGGCAGGTACAGCGCAGTGTCGGAGTCCTTGCCCACTGAGAGGCGCAGATCCGCTCGGACTGTGGACCGCACGTAGGCCGCGGCGAACAGGCAGACGTGCACGCCGCCGCCGGAGACCTGGCCTGGCGCACTCCGCCGCCAGCTGACGCTCACCAGCATGACGAAGCAACGGTCCCCGTGCGGCACCTCCACCCGCGTGGTCTTGGTCATGGCACACCGGTGGGCACGGGCGGACCAGGCCAGAGGGCCAGCTCCATCGCCGCTGGCGACGCCAAAGATGGCCATGAAAGGAAAAGAAGGGTCGTGCTGAGCAGCGCCCAGGATCGCCGAAACGCTGTCGCCGACGGGGGCCGCGTGCAGCACGTCGGGGCAGCCGGGAACGCTCACGAACACGTCCGCACCTGTCTCGTTCCGGAAAGACCACATCGGCTCCACCGCCAGAGAGCGCAGCAGGCCGGAGAGTCTGCAGTGCCGAACCTCGACAAGAAGCTGCACGCCCGTGCCTAGCTGCTCCTCTGGACCCTTGCAGCACACGGAGTTCCTCCACGCCACCTGCTCATCGCCCTCGTCGTGCGGAAACTGCGCGAGGCCCCTGAGGAGCAGCGGCCCCGACGAGCGAGCCGCCCCATGTCCACCAGGGAGCGCGTAGAGCTCCAGCCCCTTCATCTGCCGCGGGTCCCCGGCAGTCTCCAGCACGCGCTCCTCAGAGCAGGGCGATTTGAGACAACGGCAGCTCAACATCGGTCCCCAGACCCCTCCCGGGGTCCAAGCGCGCAAATTCTCCGAGCTGCGCCCAGCCCCGGCGACTCGGGGGCTGCCCGAAGGCCAGGTGTCATCACTCCCGTTGCCCGGCCTCGCCCTCCCCGGAGCTCCTCCCCGGGCCCCGCGCTCACGGTGCCGAGCGGCGCCACGGCCAGCATGCAGGCAAAGCCGCAGGAGTTCTGGAAGACCAGCAGCGGCCACAGGTGCAGCACGCCCGGGAGGCCGGCCTCCGAGGCCGGCCGCGGGGTGCCCCGCAGGCCGCCCTCGAGCCGCGCCGCGCCCGCGGCACCGGCGCCGCGCTCCTCCCTGCGGGCCACGGCGCCCAGGTCCTGGAACGTCGCCACGATGCCGGAGGGAGCGAAAACGGCAGGAGCAGAAGCTGTCCGAGGTCCGCGCGGCTTTCTTCGATCGGCGCTGGGCCCCTCTCCCCGGCGCGCGGGGCGCGCCTGCAGATGCGGCACCGGAGGCGCCGCCATTGGGGGGGGGGGTCCAGCGCCGATCCGAGAGATCCGCGCGGAGCTCCGAGAGCTTATGCTTGTGGCGTTTGTGTTTCCCTCCGAGATGTTGCACCGAGGTTCGCCCGGCAGTGGAACGACCGTGGCGAACGGCTCCGCCTCTATTGAGCAATAAAGGTGCCCCTAAACCTTTGGGAACGGACCTAAGTTGGGAGGGGTCTGTTCAGCAGATGTACCAGACGAGACCACACACATGATCAGGAACATCCCTAAAAAGACTGTGGACCCAAGTTAGGCCACCAAGTCATTGGGTTACTATTGTGACGTAAGGAGTTGCAGTGTATGCTCAGCGAGCCTCGCCGATGCCCAGGGGCAGCTGCGGGCCGAAGGGCTCCCCTGGCGCGCGGACGCTCACCGCACAGCTCCCGGCGCCCGCGGCCGGCAGCAGCCCCACGAGCTCCCCCGGCTGCAGCGCCGTGGGCGGTGCCCCGTCCGGCGGCGCCGGGCGCTCTGCGCCCAGCCGGGCAGTGCAGCGCTCCTCGCGAGGCGAAGAACGCAGGCGCGTCCGCGGCCTCGCGGGCCGGGCCCCTGGGCCGCGAACCCTCGGATACGGGTCGCTTGTCTTTGAGGGATGAAATAACGGCCCTGCCCTGGGTGACAAGTGCGTGGTCTGTAAACCTCCTGGGACCCCCCAGAGCCCAGAGCCGCCAGGGCGCGGCACATCACGCAGGGTTTACCCTGTCAGCCCACAGGAGTTTCAGAGCACAGCGCCTCGTAAACCAGGGTAGGGGCGTCTTTTCTGCCCTTGATGTTTCGCGGATGCTCCACGCGGAACGCATCCGTGCCTCTGCGAATCCGCGGGATCGCGCCCCGAAATCCAGACTGCGAGGGCGCGGATACGGACAGGTTCGCCGCTCGTGAACGCCTGCTGACAAGGCTGCTGGCGGAAGCGCTCACCAGCAGGGAGGCCCTCTAGGAAGCGCCGCGACCTCAGCACGCCGTTCGAGCTGCTCTCCACCCCGGCGGCGGCGAACTCCACGGCCCGGTCCAGGTGAGAGATGAGCATCAGCGGGGGCAGCAGGGTGACGGTGAACTGCGCCCTGGAGGGCCGTTGGACGCAGACGTGCACTCGCCTGGCGGCGCCGCCGCCGTCGGGGCGCGGCTCGCAGAGGTCCAGGCCCGCCCAGAGGGGCTCGCCGTCCACCGCTGGCCCTTCCAGGGCGAGGGGGTCTGACCACGCCACGCCTCCGCCCAGCCTGAACGTCAGCGCGCGCGCGGCCTCGCCGAGGTGCCTCCACGCATACCTAGAGGCCTCCCTGATAGGGTCGGAGCAGATGAGGTCGGAGGATCGTGCCGCATCGCCGATGCATCGGCGACGCACCAGCGACGTCGGCGGAGTATCGGCGACGTGGGTGTTGAGACGCTCGGGCTCCACATCGAGCCGCATCGCCGATGCATCTGCGGTGCGGCGCGTTCCTCCGACCCCTTCTGCTCGGACCCCGTCAGAGAAGCCTGGAGTGCCCTCGCTCTGCCCCCGGCTGCACCACCAGCGCCTCGTCGGCTGCGGCACCGTGCTGCCTGAAGACCACCGGCACTGGCAGGGCGTTCTCCACGACCACGGGGAGGCGCCGGGGCGGCCGCAGGGCGCCTGTTGCTATGCCGCCCATGCCGCTCATGTCAATGCTGCCGGCTCTGGCCAAGCTCTGCCCTAGGTGGGCTATCCGCGATGGAGCCCATGGCGGTAGCATCGCACGCCACGTTCCAAAGCTCAGGTCAATCACAGGCACTCGCGTGCTCTGAGGCGCTCGGCATGATGAGGGCAGTCGCAGGCACACTGAGCTTGGCTGCTTCGACGACCTCGTGATCATATGGAACTTGGCACCATTACCTTCCAGCGGGATTACCTGCACCAGGGAAAGCGTGGACATGTCGTACAGATTAAGCCCGGCCCTGCTTACCGACACGCTGAGGCCCATGCCTTCCGCAGAAGCCTGCCAGAGCGAGAACTGCACACCAGAGAAGGTGATGTCGCCGAACGACTCCTCGAATGCCAGCCCGGATGTCCCGTGGGAGTGCAGCAGGCCTGTGCGGCAGCACAGAGGAGAGTGCAAGACGGACCACGTGATCTGAGGTACCGAAACGGACACCGAGAGATCAGAGCCCGCGACCGCCGAGTCCTCAAACACCGGGGCCTGCACGAGCACGGCGAGGCTGAAGTGCGTCAGCCCAGCGAGCGCGCTGAGGCGCACGGCCACGAGACGTGAGAACGCGGCCTCGCTGTCGGAGGAGCCCGTCACGTCCACAAATGTCGCCTGCGCGTCGTCCCAGGCCTCGGCTCTGTAGTGCACCCCGCCGGTGAGGCGCGAGAACCCCGTCGGCACGGGCCCAGGGCCCACCGCGTCGTTCGGCAGGCCCTCGTCGATGAGGATGCCCGGCGTGCCCATGGTGCCGAGGGCGCGCACCGCGACGGAGGAGACCCTCGCGGGGCGGTCCAGGCGCACGGCGTAGGCTGGGCAGCCGCCCCCGTCGCCAAGGCTCACGGCCTGCCAGGGCTCCAGCTCCTCTCGGGGGGAACGAACGGGGGGAGATGGCAAAGGGCAGGGTAGATACTCAGCTCACGTAGCTTATTCTCCCAGCGCCTCCAGGCGCCGGGAGGCGCCCACGTATGGAGGAGTGCGCCCGGCGGCGGGGCCGAAGCCAGCTGCATGCAGCAGATTTCGTAACCCCCCCTTTCCCCATCCCCCCGTCTCGTTCGGCCCGATCCTCCAGGGACACCCTGCAGACCACGGTGACGGGCAGCCCCGACTCAAGAAGAGAATCCGCCCGACCCCTGGGGGCCACCAGAGGGAAAGGCGTCCCCCTCCCTCCCGGCATAGGCAGCCACACGCGAGGCCTGCCCCATGCAGGTTAATCTTCTCAATCACGGGCGGGAAGTCAAAACTTGAAGGATGTCTGCAGCCAGATGAACACAGTGGGGGTGTCCTGTACCCACGCGTCGACCGGACCCCAGGGGTAGCGCTCACAAGTGATAGCAGAATCCCCCACGCCCACCCAGAGACTCGGTCTTGCGAGCATGAAGACTCCCAAGAATTTGCCCAGATGGCACAGAGGGGTACCGACGTCCACGCAGGCGTCCAAGAAGACCCATGACTCCAAGAGGCCCGAGATAGGCCCCGAGAGAGGCCTCGGACAGCCACGAACACATACACACATACACACATACACACAACCACGCTGACAGTATTTTTGACGTGCCTAGTCCTACATTATCGCAGGAATGCTAGATAAAGACCCAGTGAAGGTCACAGACTGGTCCAAGCACTTCCCGGAACGGCCCTCGAAGCTCTCAGGGGGGCCCCAGGAAAATAACACCCTCATGAATGGGGGTCCAAAAGAGCTCTCAGGCAGCCCAAGCCAAAGAGGGCCTCCACGGAGTCAAAATATTCATTGCAGAACCTCCCCCTCCCCACTCTTTCTCCTCCATCTCCTCCTCCCCCCCTTCTGTTCTCCTCCCCTGCTGTACAGGTCCTGTATATCAATGCGTGCAATGCGAACCGTACTGACAAGAGAACCAATGGTTGAGCAGGGACCAGCCGTCCCGGTATTCTTATAGGCCTACCACGACATGTTCTTACAACAAAGACGCGGTGCCGGCGTATTGACAGAAGAAGGCCTCAACCAAAAATGTTCTAAAAACATGTAGTGCGAACCACGAAAGGTTGTTGTTGTAACAGGCTCCGGTGGGACTGTATGCCGGTCAGACCGCTTAGCCACTACCTGAAAGGGATCAGCGGGTGTCACGACAGTCGCATGGATCGTCGCCCTCGTCGCGCTTTGCATCGTGGCCGTCCTGCACCCAGAGCTGCAAAACCAGGTCGTCAAAGGACACAGGAACTGGCGGGACCGCTCTCGAGGCCCTCTCGCCACCATCGTCCCTGCCACTGTCGACAGGCTCCTGAAAGGCGCCCATGGAGACACACATAGAAACACACAAAGTGCTAGAATTCCTCGCATGTTTGAACATTGTACGGGTTTTAGTCTCCCCCTCCTTGTCCAACATTTCCCCCACATGCTCATGACAAATCAGTGTGTATGTGCTTCTGTGTCTGGTTTTCCCTCCTGACTCCTGCACGTCCTGTGATGGCGCACCACCAGGATCTGAGAAAGACAGAATCTCCTGCAGTGCCTGGATCTGCCACGCCCCAAGGGCGACGACCATCGGCGACAAGTGGAACTGAACGTCTGTCCGCGCTGCAGGCAGCTGTGGGCACTCCAAGTCGCAGGCGCTCTGGGTGGTGACCGAGCCGTGCAGCGACATTGGCGACAGGAGCGGGGCGGCCAAAGCGCTTGCCCAGCTCGCGTCCGCCGACATGGCCTCGACGGACACGTCGATGCGCTTGCGGTGCATGCCAGGCAGCCTGTGCGATGCTGCCGGCGGCGCCGTGAGAGTCGGAGGCCAGGAGAACACGGAGAAGTCACGGAGCCGGAGCGCCACGCGGCTCGACTCCGCGGGGCCCGCCGACAGCCTGGAGCTGAAGTTCGCCACCAGCACGCGCCACTTCACAACGGCTGGCTCCTGAGCCGGCGGTGTCGATGCGGCGGCTGTGGAGTGAAGCCTCTGCGCAGAAGGGACCCGTGCACCACCACCGTGGCCAGGGCCGTCCTGGGCCCTGGTACGGGGCAAACGCCCTCTCCGCGGTGGCCAGGAGGCTCCGTGCACCATCCTGAGGCCCAAGATGACCATGGTCCGAGCATGGTGGTGTGCACAAGCCTTCCGCGGAGCCTTTCTTCATCGGCGCTACTGGCCTGGCCTTCTATCAGCGTAGGAGAAATTGGTGTCGAGGTGGTGCTGCCAGCGGCCGGTGTATGTTCGTCTCGCTCGTCCGCAGTGGCCAAGACAGTGACGGAGTGCTGATCCAGAGCGCCTATCAGCTGCCTCTCTGTTGCAGATGGTAATAAGCGCTGAATGTCAGCGAAGATGCACCCAGTGCAAACATCTAGCGACACATCCCCGTCGATGTTGGCCGTGATGTCCAACGCGCTGTTGCCGCCACCGGCGGGCGGTGAGCTGTGAAGGACGGTAAGCGTAAGACGAGTCAGGTGGAGCGACTGCTGGCTGTCCTCGAGAGCAGCGCTGAGGTTGCTGCACTGCAGCAGCTGCTGCGTTGTGGCATCCTGCGGCGTCGACGTCCAAGAAGCACTGCCCACCGCCAGGCGGTACGAAGGGGTCTGGCCATCCACGAGCTGCCCAGGCAGCTGCACCGAGGCGGAGCGGACCAGCACGCTGAGGCACACGGGCTCGCCCGGCGGCCGCGCCTCGCCTGTGCGCCGAGCTGGCTCGGGCGCCCCGCCCGCGTCCTGCGAGGGCCGGGCGAGCTCGTCCAGGCAGCTCAGGTACTGGCTCCCGAGCTGCAGGAGGGCGATCAGGTGCGAGCGCTCCGTCAGCCCGAGCACCAGGCCGTCCACCTCCGCGCAGAGGGTCCTGACGCCCCGGGCGCCCGGCTCTGCGGGCCTCTCCGAGAAGCTCAGGGTGCAGGGCCCGAGGAGGTCGTCGAGGTGGCACTCCGAGCTCAGCGCGCCGGCGTCCGAGGGCATCCGGGCGGGCGCGTCCGAGGGCGTGGCCGTTCCTGCCTGCTCCGGCCCGAAGAGCAGCACCGAGAGCACCGCCGACGCCCGCGGCGGCCCCCCCGAGGGGACGTGGGCCGACGCCTCCTCCACGCACACGGCCAGGTGCGGCGAGACCTCGGTGGACGGGCCCGCGGCGAACACCCGCAGCGACACCGTGCTGAGGGACGCCTGCGCGGAGAGCCCCGCCTGCCTCGGGCGCGCCTCCTGCTCGCCCGACCGCCGTCCGGCGTCCCCGCTCTGGCCGCAGCCCGTCGCTGCCGCCGCGGGGCCGCCGCGCGCAGAGGAGCTGCGCTGCGCCCGCGCCGCGTCGTGGGCCACGCCTGGGGCTGCGGGCGCGTCGGGCAGGGAGAAGGCCGAGACAAACCTCAGGAAGGGCCGGAGCGCCAGGCAGAGGCCGAGCGGCAGCGAGGCCACGGCTATCTCCGTGGGCTGCCCTCTGCGCCATCGCGCGCTGACGGACAGCCAGCACGCTGAGCGCATCTGGAAGGTGGCATCGTCGCCGTGGACCTTCTCCTCGCACCACTCGACCATTTCGAGTGGCGGCGCCGCCGCCATGCTCAGCGTGGCGTGCGGGCGAGACACCCTCAGCGTCATACGTGCCCTGGGACGCCACGAGTCCGAGACGCTGTGGTATGTGCAGCTGAGGCTCGGGAGGCTGAAAGACATGGAGCCTGCTGGCGACTCCAGTGAGCCATCCACCGACGCCGTCGCCCGCACGGAGACTGCCAGCCTGATTCTGTTCGGTCTTCCACCGCACAGTGGAGGTGCCTTGACCTGCAGTGCCCGAGGCTGCTCCTGCAAAGCGGGCACATCTGCAGGTGCGTCTGGTTGAGGCAGCCTCGACTGCAGATGCTGCAGCCAATTCGAGACGCCACGCACGCGGAGTGGGCAGAGGCGCCACTGCACTGGCGTGAGATGGACCTGCAT